CACAAAAGTAGAATATAATTGTTTCAAACTTTTAAACGTTTAGCAATGTGAAAAATGTATTCTAAAACAAGTTTATATAACATCACAATAGATGGAAACTGAGAATTACTGTTCAAACTATGTGAAAATACACTATGTGCCTAATTATGTATGTACCATAATAAAACGCATCTATATGCAAAGAAAAAAAAAAAATAAAACTAACCAATTTTATACACAAATATAGTGATTCTTTTCCTGGATAATTTTTCGAATAACATTAGTGGTAATGAAATTTGATGGGTGTTATGACAAAAGATTATTCGAAATATGAAATCTTAGTTTTGATGATTCATAAATTCAAAAAATGAAATGCAAAATTCACGTTACTAACAATAAGTGTTAAGACCAAGGGTATGCAACACTTATGGCATGAATGTTCCTTAACTTAGTGTGGCAAATCAATTCTTTGACCATTTCAAAGTTCCAGACAAGGCACCCAATATATTTGGGTCAATTTTAAGTGCGACGAAATATTTCGCACTATAGAGGTCATCCTGTCATAACAACAGCGTACTCGAAGGAGTATGTATGCAGCAGGTTAGTTTTCTTAAGACGATCCTTCCTAGAAATGCCCCACTCTTGGGTGACGATGGGAAAATTTGCAAACCTTTCCCCATACTTCCTGATTAGTCTTGACATATCCCTCGCTATACAATTCCTCCTTTAGAAGGGGTAAAAAAAACCGGATAAAGGAGAGAGTCAGTTAGTTCCATAATGTCATTCAACTATAGGGTCATTACGAACAATCAGTCAAAGACAGTGAAAATTCAGATTTTTGAATTTCATCAAGAGAGTCAAAATTTAGAATTCAACACTTAGTAAGTATAAGTATAGGCTAGATATGACATTAAAATAATAAAAAATAGGATTTTATGATTCAAGATTTAAAATGTGAATTTAGAAAAAATCTTAGAGTGTAGAAGCTTTAAAAATCGGAATCTTTCTTACGCTCTTTAAGAATTGTCATGGCAAGTATAGGAATCATATTTAACTCAATCGTTGAAAGTGATAAATTCAATAGCTTAAAAAGCAATAAAAAAATTTTCATCCATTAATTCTTAAAAAAAAGTCGTTACTAAGAAAACTAAAAAAAATTAGTTATATAATATATTCTATACTAAGAAAACTATTAGTATATTATATATTATTCTATACTAAGAAAACTATTATTATATTATATATTATTAATATATTCTGAAACTATTCTTTAGTATATTTAGTTTAAATGCATATGAGCTATTATTATTTTATCAAATAGTTTTTCATCAAAAATATAAGGTTTTACAAAAATAATATATATTATTACATAAATTGTTATTGCTTCTTATTTTGAGAATTATAAACAATTATTTTATTCAATTTTTTAAAAATTACTTTTACTCAAATTTTATTATCGATAAAGTAAAAGCAACGAAAAAATATAATTATTTAAAATGTAATTATATAGATAGGGGTTCATCTTATCGATTTTGCTGATTTTTAAATATATAGGAATCGATATTTTGAACAATTTTTTTTTCCTTTACATATAATTCCTAATTTTAGTTTGCGAGATATTTATAAAACAATTTTTACTTTGTGGGTTACTTGCCGTTTAGATTTCAGTCAAATTTATCTACGAATGTAATTATGTTACATATTTAGGCCGTGAGTTACTTTTGAGGGAGCACGGACACTTGCTTTGAAAAAGAATCCAACGTCACACAATAGGATTTGAGGATAAAAATCCAGCGTCGAGTCAATAGGATTTGAGGATAAAAATCAAAATATAATTTTTTTTCAATAAGTTTTCAGCTTATAGTATTGTTATAATAGTTATCCATGTAATATTCATGTAATATTATTATAATAGTTATGTAGACATGGTGCCATAAGTTTTCGTTTTTATTTAAATGAAATGGTATCTTTTAACTTGTCACTTTATATACAATACAGCTGGAAGTTGCAAATATATCCACTATTTTCTTCACACATTATTCTAATATATAGTTTCGTACTTTGTAATTTTATTCGGATTATAAAGACGAAAGGACAAAGTTTGACGATAAGGTATGATTTCGTCCAAAGAAAGTTCCTGTTCAGGATTGTACACAGTATTGAACTTATTTATATAAAATAATTTATTACATTATTCAATTTTGCATAATCTGTTTGAATTTGACGATATTTCTGTATTATTGGAAAAATACAAAAATTGCAAAATTTGTAAGAATTTATTTCGTATCATTATTTCCGGAAAGAAAGGCGTTGCAGACACGTTGACCAATAATCATATATTGTCGTTTTTTTTGCACTTAATCCATCGAAATATTTAATTCTAGAAATTCTTTCATTTCCGATACTGTATTAGTCCACTTCTTTTTTTTTTTTTTGACGTTTATATCTGCGGTGCATCTGAGCATAATACCTATTAGATTCCAATCGTTACAATCATATAAAGTCATCTCCAATAAATAGTCCAACTTCATTTATACTTTGAGAGTCATTTAAAAATACTTGATACCTGGATTACCAATAAACACTTCTAAGTTTCTTTTTCGGTCATTTTTTGTCCACTCAATGTTTGATTCTCACCAGAACTACATTCACTGTCATAAATTATCTTCGTATATTTCTTCATCTATATTGCACCAATACATCACTGTCATTGTTTGCGCGCGGTTAACGGGACGAGGTGTATGTATACTCGTTTTATTGTAGTGGACTTCGGTGGTAATATTAGATCGAGAGATGAATTAGACTATTCAAAGAGATGAATTAGACCGCACTGTCTTGAAGTCAAGAGAATTCTGATCTTCAGGCCGATGTTCGGGAACGTTTCCATGCATGAATCCCATCTAGTCCGCAATAGGGTTTGTGAGCATCAAGTGACTCGAGCTCCTAATAGCTTCAATCGCTATAAACTCTTGACAGTCTGGGAGAGCTTTGTTCTATGCCGAACAAGGACCTCGACTGTGACATAAAGCAACTTTCACTTCTCGAATATAGACAACATATTTGGATAAAGTTAAAATAACGTTAAAATAACAGATAATATATGCTCGCTTTGGAGCCAAGAAACTTTCTCGAAGAATCACTAAAAAGCATCGGATTTACCTTCGATCTCGGAAATTTCATCAGCATATATTTCTTCATTTTCCATAATAATGGTAAATTATTTTCAACGTATAAGTATGAAAGCACTAAAATAGCAGAATGCAAGTACATATATAACATTAATCGCAACACAGTAATGAGCACTTGAAATTTTTATCAACTACGTAAAAGAATAAAAAAATTGCGCAGTCGATATTACAATTACAATCTTTTATCATTGTTTATGTTCACTGATTCCCTGATAAATTATTCATAATATAATAGAACTTAACTTTCATAATATAATAGATAGAATGATGGGCAGAATCAGTCACTAAATATGTAATATAATAGATAGAATGATATGGCAGAATCAGTCACTAAATATGTAATCAAATGAAAATTAACTGACATACTGGCACACGGAACCAAAACTTTGGGTGACTGAATTATTTCACGTTCAGAACTATAAAATTGCTTAGGCAATTGTTTGCAGACACACTCTGCATCAGCAGCGTTAAATGATTAAAAAATTTTTTTGCTATTTTTTAAAAAAACGATTAAGTTGCGACCCATGTTCCTCGTTTGATCTTCGTGATGAGTAGAATACAATGCAATTAAAAAAAAAAATGTTGACTTTGGAATTCAAAATCAAGATCAATTTTGCAACAAATTTCTTATATACGTTTTCATCAAATCGAAGATATAGAATTCATCTATGATAATCAAGATAAAACATCAATGTTTCTGAAGGACAAAGAATGGTACGCTGCTTTTTTCAAAAAGAGTGAAATGTGTCTATGAAAATCTTCCTTTACACAAAAAAAAAATATTTGGGTTTGCATTGAATAGCAATCCAGGCAGGGGTCGCAGAGTGTTTTAGTCACATTGTGCGTCAAATTGAGTAAGAATAGTATCTGCTTTACCCAGAATATGTTCGAGAAAAATTCTCGCATTTCTCTCAGAATGTGCTCACATTCAACGACGAGAAAATTTTTAGAATTAATGACTTAAGGAAAGTTTACGAAAATATAGATAGTGTTTTGAATATCATCTCGTTATTCGCTATAAGAACATACAATAAAAAGTGCAGGGTTCCATTAAAAAATTTAAACACAACCTTTACAGTACACTGTAATATTATTTCAAGGTTAAACAATTATCACCATATATATAATATTTCTTTCAATACTACACAACTTTTATTTTTTCATATTTCTGATATTTACAGAAATAGTCACAATGAACATATTGTATTGTCATGGGTATTATCATCATGAATCCCATATGATCCAAGCTATGTTTGATGAGTGTATATAAATGCATTTTTCCTCTTTTTCGAAAAAGAGATAAAATTTTAATATTTTATGACTAAAAATTAAATTGAATGCATGTATATTTTGAATGCACCAATGACCGATCGAGTTAAAATTAAGAGAAATGAAGAGAAAAGGGAGGCGATCTCAAATATAAAATTTTAGCTCCGAGCATTTATTAGTTTTGAAAATATTATACATTGACTTTTGTCTCTGTTTGTGGATTGTTTGATTGTTTCTATAAAAATAAAATCAAACTCAATCTAAGCCAGAATTTTTTTTACTTGCAGATTAGAAATTTAGAACTGTTTCAGACAAAAGTTTTATACCGTTATTAATGATTTTTTCGGAATAAAATAGTGCGTTGGTAATTAATTATAAACGATTTTAAATAAGAGTAGCAATTTTACAGATATTTAAAAGTTCATTTAGATTGAGCCAAATTATTTGAAATCAAATGACTTGAATATAAATAACTTGAAAACTCCTTGTCAGTGCAAATTTGTTATTTTATTTTTATTTTTGGAATGATATAAAAATAATA